GGTCTTATTGAGATTATGAAATGTAGCATGCATGGCCCCATCGTTCCATTGTTCCCTGTACAACCATGGCCCAACTGCGTGTACAATATCCAAATAAATGCTTGAGAATACACACATACCTCCTAAATTCTATTTTCTGGACATTTACATATATACCATATGAATTCTATGTATGTACATATCTAACACCTAAACTTATATATTTTATAATAATATCACCCAAATATTTTTTAAAATAATAAAATTTAGCATTTTTTAATTACATATAAAAATAATATAAAAGAATGTAAATAAATATTATTATTTAATTATTTAATTATTTCGAGCCAAAACGAGCTGAAAACGAACGAGCAAACCTCTGTTGATGTTCGACTCGTTTATAAATCAAGGTGAATAAAATTATTCGTGTTCGACTCGCTTGCTTCGTCAACAGAGAGCTTTTTTGACATCCCTACTTGGAAAAGAGTGGAAGGAATCATTATAAGTTCATTCATCCCCAAGGGAATATTTATAAATATTTGGATGTAAGACATCCTGGTTACTTGGGATTGAGCCAGTAGATAGATGAGTCATGTTGGATCAAATTGGTCTCTTTTACTTATTCAAAGAGTCAAAGAGTGAATAGGTGTGCAACATGCTTTTTTTATTTGTTGGACGATCATATTTTTAGCAATGATGGAGGTATAAATAGAGGCCTTGAGTTCTAAAGTTGGTGTGTATGGAGACCTAAATTTAATAATTGAATCTATATTAATGTTTCTAAGTTCAATGCTAATTATGATTTTCATTGGGTGGGTAGATTTATGTTGGACTATTGTGAGTGGTGTTGATGAGATTTGGTTCATCGAGATTAATCGATGGTTCATGAATTTTGATACATTCTAATCGTGTTGGGACTATAAGCATCATTGCCCTTTTGAAACCTTCTAAAGCCCCTAATCTATTTTTTTTTAGTATTTATCATTTACTTTATACTTTTTTCTTTTGTAATAAGTAAAAAAAAAAAACTCTTTTTTGAATTTATATGTATTATTACATAGTTAATCATATCCTTGTAGTGTAGAGGTAGCTTGATTTCAATTCTTTTGAAATCATGGCATGAGTTTAAACCCCTCGACCACAATCTTTTGTAGGACATAAACGTGAACATCTTCTAGGAATCTAATGGCTTTTGTTACCTTCTTGAATTACAATGTATTAAATCTCTTGAAAATCATTTCTATTTGCTAAGATTAAAAAAAAAACACTTAAAACTCTATAAAATGGCCCAAGATGTTCTTTAGGCCAAAAAGTTATTTCGCTCAGATAAACAGACTAGCCCAAAGCCTTTAGAAAAGATCTAGATAAGAAAGGACCTAAATTTGGCTTGGTTTTGTGCCGCCAGAGGTTGTCTTTTGGAACAACATTGCCCACACTTCATTCCTTTGAAGATCGCCAATATAGTGGTTCTGGCCCGTTGTTATAATGGCGGTTATATACTACCTCACACCACTATTTGAGGCAATTTAGAAATGAGGAGGAATAAACAACACTTAATAGCATCATTCATGTGATTCCTCAATATTTCTTTGATGGGCGTGGTGGAACCGGTGTAAAAATAACCCTTGTAATTTTTTTATTGGCCTGCAATGCTACAATGTTGATTTTAAATGTTGATCTTTTAGTTCAAACACCATGAATGTGCCCTTCATTCGAGGTTTGAGGGAACAATGGTAAGCTCAAGTGTTACGTAGTCGTATGCATTTTTCATTCGGCAAGCGAGGCGACGTTGATAAGGCTCAAAAGCCTTCTCCACACATTCCTTCTTCCACAAGGAGGAGGAATGGTGAGATTAGGTGTAGAGTTTTCAACCCTAATTACCTTTGTACATTTTTCGTTTGTCGTGCGAGGTGATAGTAGTCAACAACAGTGTCAGAGACCCCTTTTGTGCGATATTTGGCTTAGTTTTGTGCCGCCAGAGGTTGTCTTTTGGAACAAAATTGCCCACACTTCATTCCTTTGAAGATTGCCAATATAAGGGTTCTGCACCGTTGTTATAATGGCGGTTATATACTACCTCACACCACCATTTGAGGCAATTTAGAAATGAGGAGGAATAAACAGCATGTACTAGCATCAATCATGTGATTCCTCAATATTTCTTTGATGGGTGTGGTGGAACCGGCGTAAAAATAACTCTCGCAAACTTTTTATTGGCCTGCAATGCTACAATGGTGATTTACGATGTTGATCTTTTAGTTCAAACTCCATGAATGTGCTATTCATTTGACGTGTGAGGAAACAATGGTAAGCTCAAGTATTACCTAGTCGTATGCATTTTTCATCTGGCAAGCGAGGCGACGTTGATGAGGCTCAAAAGCCTTCTCCACACATTCCTTCTTCCACAAGGAGGAGGAATGGTGAGCTTAGGTGTAGAGTTTTCAACCCTAATTACCTTTGTAAATTTTTCGTTTGCTGTGCGAGGTGATAATAGTCAGCAACAGTGTCCCTTTTGTGCGATATTTGGCTTAGTTTTGTGCCGCCAGAGGTTGTCTTTTGGAACAACATTGCCCACACTTCATTCCTTTGAAAATTGCCACTATAGTGGTTTTGACACCGTTGTTATAATGGTGTTTATATACCACCTCACAACACCATTTGAGGCAATTTAGAAATGAGGAGATATAAACAACACGTAATAGCATCACCCATGTGATTCCTCAATATTTCTTTGATGGGCGTGGTGTCTGGTGTAAAAATAACCCTCGCAAACTTTTTATTGGCCTGCAATGCTATACAATGGTGATTTATGATGTTGATCTTTTAGTTCAAACACCATGAATGTGCTATTCATTTGACGTGTGAGGAAACAATGGTAAGCTCAGGTGTTACGTAGTCGTATGCATTTTTCATTCGACAAGCGAGGAGACGTTCATGAGGCTCAAAAGCCTTCTCCACACATTCCTTCTTCTCAGGCGACGTTGATGGTGAGCTTAGGTGTAGAGTTATCAACCCTAATTCCCTTTGTACTTTTTTCGTTTGCTGTGCGAGGTGGTAGTAGTCAGCAACAGTGTCAGAGACCCCTTTTGTGCAATATTTGGCTTGGTTTTGTGCTGCAAAAGGTTGTCTTTTGGAACAACATTGCCCATTTTGGAACAACTTGTCTTTTGGAACAACATTGCCCACACTTCATTCCTTTGAAGATTGCCAATATAGTGGTTTTGACATTGTTGTTATAATGGCGGTTACATACCATTTCACACCACCATTTGAGACAATTTAGAAATGAGGAGGCATAAACAACACGTAATAGCATCACCCATGTGATTCCTCAATATTTCTTTGATGGGCATGGTGTAACTGGTGTAAAAATAACCCTCACAAACTTTTTATTGGCTTGCAATGCTACAATGGTGATTTACAATGTTGTTCTTTTAGTTCAAATTCAACGTGTGAGGAATCAATGGTAAGCTCAGGTGTTGCGTAGTCGTATGCATTTTTCATTCGGCAAGCGAGGCGAGGTTGATGAGGTTCAAAAGCCTTCTCCACGCATTCCTTCTACAAGGAGGAGGAATGGTGACCTTAGGTGTAGAGTTTTCAACCCTAATTCCCTTTGTACATTTTTCGTTTGATTTGCGAGGTGGTGGAAGTCAGCAACAGGGTCAGAGACCCCTTTTGTGCGATATTCATTAAACATACAAGACGATATTAGTGAGCTCTGGTGTTGAGTTTTCAATCCACCCTCCCAGTATTCTTTATTCAACGTGCAGAAGCATCTTTGTGAGCTCGTGTGCTATGATTTTACATGAGAGCTTTCAGCCAAACTCCCTTTGTACACTTTATGCTTATGAGCTCTGCCTAGCACCCAATTTAAATTTATCACCAAATTTATATTTTCCACCGAACCTAATAGCATAAAGGCCGAATATGGCCTATGAGAAATGATTCAGCATACATTGGCTTAAAATAAAAATCAAGTCAAAGAACCTACAATCACAAGGTTATACATTAACATATAATGAAAAAAGAAAATACAACCTGATATCCTAGAACACATTATGTAGACTCAAATAAAGAAAACACGTAAAATATAGGGACATTTACATACATGGCACAATTCTAATGTATTTACATATCTTACACCTTAATTTTCATATTTAAACACACAACACTTAAATCTTTAATAACTCATAAAAAAATAGCACTATTAGCTCTTTTTTAAAAGTGAAATTTAAAGCACCAAAGTGCTAGGCATGTAAATATGAAAGTTTAGGTGTGAATTATATAAAAAATATGAATTGTGTGCTAGGTATGTAAATTTCTCTAAAACATGCATCATACAAGATGTGGTTTCCAAAATTTATTATTTTTCAGGAAGCCTTGATGGGGCAACCTTTGGTGAGGTCATTTTTGAAGGCTGCTCGAAGGAACTGGATGTAGTTTTTGGTCGGTTCAACTATATACTGGTTTTGTGGGTGTTAAAAAACATGCAATTGTGCTTCAAGTAAAAATGTTGAAGTTTTTTTTTTCTCACTACAAAATGTCAAAAAACATGCAATTTTGCTTCAAGTAAAAATGTTGAAGTTTTTTTTTTCTCCAAAATTTTTTGCATGACTAGCCCATTAAAAAGCTGCCTTTTGGACAACATAATAACTGCGAGCCATTAAGTAGCTTTTATAAAGCTTTGATTGAAAAAAAAGGGGCATTTACATATATACCGCCCAATTCCTAATTATTTACTTAACTCCCAAACTTTACTGTTTTACATTTATACCAACCAAATCTTTCATATCTCACATTATAACTTCTAAACTGTTTAATACACCTTTCTAACATAGGTAAGGTGCTATATGTAAAAATTGAAGTTTAGGTGTTAGCTATGTAAATGCATAAGAATTGAGTGGTATGCATGTAAATCTTCCCAAAAAAAAAAGTAAATTATAAACCTTGTCAAGCAAAGTCTTTTAGATTACCAACCTCTGCTGCTGCTCTGTTTGTTTTTTTTTTCTTTTTTGTTGCAGAATGTTCTATTTTTTCTTTGAATCTAGAGGCGAGAGCAGCGCTCCTGTCGTTGTTTGGCTGACTGGAGGTCCTGGATGCAGCAGTGAATTAGCCCTTTTTTACGAAAATGGTCCTTTCAAGATTGCTAATAACTTGTCTCTTATCTGGACTGATTATGGATGGGACAAGGTATTTCTTGCTTTACGCAATATTTTTGTAAGGCAATTTCTCCATCTTTTGGTCGTCTAAAATGGAATTAGGGAAATTTACATACGTACTACACAATTCTTATGTACGTACTTATCTAATACCAAAAGCTTGATTTCTACACTTGGTGTCATAAAGCTATGCGTGAAATGTGTATTTCACTTTTAAAAAGATAGTGATTGTGATATTTTTGATGTGATGTTAAAGATTTGAGTGGTATGCATGCAAATATGAATGATTAGGTGCTACCTATATAAATACATAAGAATTGTATGGTATGCATGTAAATGCCCCGTCAAATTATTTTAGTTTTGGAGCTTTAAACAATGCATAAAAATGTTTATTTTACTTTTATAAAATAGTAATAGTGTTATTTTTGATGTGATATTAAAAACTTGAGTGTTCTGTGTAAATATGGAAGTATAGGTGTGAGGCATATCAATGCTTAAAAATTGTGTAAAATATATGTAAATACCCCTTAAAATGCATACATAGATCATAATTCTTATGTATTTACATATTTCACACTTAAACTTTTATATTTGCATACATAGCACTTTGATGTTGTAAACCTATGCATGAAAAGGTGTATATCACTTTTAAAAAATAGTAATTGTGTTATTTTTGATGTGATATTAAAGATTTAATTGAGATATATTTAAATATGAAAGTTTAGGTGTGAGATAAGTTAATATATTAGAATTGTATGCCATGCATGTAAATACCCTAAAATATGCCAAAATTCGCAGACAATGACCAACATTTCAACATGTAATTAAGAAAAATTTGAAGAGAGCCAAACATTGCTATCAGCATCTGCTGCAAACTTATCGGCAACTTGTTAAGAAGAGAAGTTGCAAGATCTTGCTTCTCATTCCCTATCAGAGAAAGCCTACAGGAAGCCTCTTTGCTTTGTAAAAGGTGAATATCATGCCTCCATTGAGAAGGAGGTTTCTCGATCTCTCTCCATTTTGACTTCATAGGTATTGTCAATATCTTAAAAGTTAGACAACTTATGGCTAAATTCAACACAAGGATTCCTTTTAGGCCGGCTTGTGCGTTAGACTTAGATATTAGGGCGGCTAACTTAGTGATTCTGACAATTGTTTTCTACATGAGGCCCATGTTTAGAAGGCAAATAATAAAGTATAAATGTTATGCCTTTTTTGGAGATGCTACAATTTTTCCCCTAAGCACAGTCTAGTAGGATAGGGGGCTAGGCACCACGGTGCCAAGTCCATTAAGTACATTTAGTCTTGCTGTGTATGTGATGTGTTGTTCTATGCTAACCTTTATTTTACAGGGTAATATATGATATACTTAGATGTATGATATGCATATATATATGTATATGTTACATATCATGTGATGTAATAGACACACATAGATCTCTCTCTCTCTCTCTCTCTCTCTCTCTCTCTCTCAATGTAGAATATACACTATAACGATGTAGAATATAACATAGATATAATGGAATAGGATCCAGTAGTTATAACAGGTGATAATTGAAAGCATTCTATAGAAAATTCAGATCCCAAACCACCATAGCTAGGGAACAGCGTGGCGAGGAAATAAAATATTTCTCTTTAGCACTTTATGCACGCATGTATGTAGCTGTAACGCATGGAGATTGCGTGTTGGATCTTTGTACTTGCCACGACCTGCTAATAGGGCATTTACATACTTACCACCCGATTCCTATGTATGTACATCATCTATCACCTAAATTTTGCTTTTTCTATCTTTATCATCCAAATATTTCATATCACATAAAAAATATCATCTTTTTAACTTTTAAAAAATGTAATGCATATTTTCTCGCCTAATGTAAGGTGGTGTTAGGTGTTCATTATGTAAATACATAGGAATTGAGTGGTATGTGCGTAAATCTTCCTATTTTTATTGAAATTATGTTTCAAAACATTTATTCCCATGAAACAGCTATAAAAAGTTGGGGCTTTTGATTTGAGTTATAGTAATTACAGAGCCGTTTCTATAAGATAAACGGTTAGAACAGATCTTACTGCAACTTCTGTTTTCAGAAAGCTTGAGTTCTAGGGAAAATAACCACAGTACTAAAGCGAAGATGGTTGATAAGAGAAATAAAAATGGAACATTCGAAAGAGATTAGATTTCAAACAAAAAGTCATGTCTTAATTGAAGTTTCAGTGGAGCATGACTCTGTCCGAGTTCTGTTGGGAGTTCCCATTTTTAGCAGCAATTTCCAAAACAGTAGTTTCTTCTGGGAATGTTTAGTTGGAAATTCCAACAAATGCAAATTTTTCCTATTTTTTACACTAACTATTTTCAAAATTTATGAATTCAGAAATTTGCTGAACTTTTATTTTATGATAAGGTGGAGATCAAAGTGGGGTTTACTGAATTTATGAAATGTATGGTGAGAAAGATAATATTATGGAAATATATTGACCCAAAAGTTGAAATTCATAAATTTGAGTCCTAAATGTTTGTGCTCCTCTAAACTCCACCATATAGCACATGAACATATCATCTTATGTTGTACATCTTAATGGATTTGTTCTACAATTAAGGGCACAATCCGTTGGAATTATTACGACTAGTCATTCCCATTTAAATATGTGAATACATGTCTTAATCATTTACTTAGAATTTATTGTCAAATTTGTTGTAATATGTTCTTTTAATTAAGTATATTTTTGTTTTTCTTTACTTCGATCATTTTGTTCCATTATATATATATCTATCTATATCTATACATAATATATTATATAGATATCTATATTATATATATATCTAGATCTTTCTATATATGTATATATGTATATGGATCTATCTATGTATCTATATATATGTATATGTCTCTATAGATTTATATATCTATATATATCCATGTATATCTATATATATATATATATATATATCTATATATATCTATCTATATCTATACATATGTATCTCTCTATATCTATACATATATATGTATATATGCATATGTATGTGTATGTATGTATGTATGTATGTATGTATATATATATATATATATATTCATATGCAATATCTGCTACTAATAATCTTGTAGAATGCTTCATGTATTACAGAAGGTATGTTTCACTATTTGGGCTTCTTGGATTACTATTAAAAAATAAAAGAAAGAAAGCCAAAAATGCAAAATAATTGCTGAGGAAGATCTCTCCAATTTACATTACTTTCCAGAAAATTGATCATGACTTTGGCGCTTAGCACCTTTCAAAAATCTTGTAGAGCTTATCAAAACCTGAACAAATGTTCCATTTGTGGCCATTGCATTTGGTGGCTTGAGGAAAAGCCTCATGGATGGGAACAAAGCATGCTGAATAGTCCACTCCCGTTGTGCCCATGTTGTTTCAGCTTCGGCAGGCAACTCTCCGTCCATATCGGTATCTGAATCGTCCTCAGGCATTGTTGATGCATTTGCCACATTTGTGCCTAGATCATTTTTACTATTCTTGTAGAATTGTATTCCATTGCCAGAAGGATTCAGAAGGACAGAAGGTTGCATAGCATAAAAGCTCCCTATATCAGCTGCAATTGTTTGGAAGTAGTCTTTCTCATTGGTGTGGATAACATCATTACCCAAATTCAACAAAAACTCTGGAACATGGTCCATGTCAAGAGTGTGTTGATCCAGTACAACAGGAAGCCTTGTCAGGTTCTGTTGTTCATCTATGTGAATAGAAAAGTACTCATCGAGCAATTCAGCTTTTTCAATAGTAGATCAGCATTCATCCTAGCAATCTTTTTTCTAAAATCATCATTTTCATCACTGGTAGAATCTAAATCTTCATCTTTCATAGGGGTTGGTTCACTATGTTGCATAGCATTAAAATTTCCAAATCTGCGTATGACTTGTTGATACATAAGCTCTTTGCTGACATTAACAACATTCACAAGGTAAAGATGAGTATTGTGTTGAAGTAATGCAAAACTTTCATCAGCAAGCCCCACATATATGCAATTTTTTACAATGTCATGGAGACCTGCAGCAATATAACAAATCAGTTAAACACAGTGCATTCTTCCCTTAATTTCCATCAAAAGAAAGCTATAATAGATATTACAGTAGGCACCCTACCCACCAGGATGAACTTTAGAATCAATTTCTCGAACAAGCTCCTGGACGCTGGTTAAATCTAAAGCTTCTTTAGGATTCCTTCTCAGTCCTATAACATTCCTCGCTGAAGCAAGGTCAAGTTTTTTTTTTCATTTTGTGAGCCAGGCTTATCTTGCAAGTAGGCATGCAGCCTACCAAAGGGATTGCGCTAATCTGTTCTAACCATCTTATTAACTGGAACTTTTTGAGACTTCATCACACTAGAGAAATTCTCCTGGGTGTCTTTTTTCATACCCAAATGAGTCATTACAGTGGAAGTTATTGTCTTCGTATGAAATGTTCTTGTTTTGTTAGAGGACATCAATTTTGATTCAACAACATCTTAAATGGTGTTAACAATACTCTCTCGATTCAAAAAGCTTACCTCTCTCTTTGTAGGATGTACATTAACATTTACATGCTCAAGCGAGAGCCTAATAGACATAAAAAGGAAAGGCTTGGATGCCTTTGGCAGTGTTGCAGAATACGCCACCACGATAGCTCTCTTAAGGGGAGTGCATTCCACCAACCTGTCATTGATGAATAGAATCATTGTTGTCTTCTTAGTCACATAATTGGCACTGGAAATATAACCATCCATCTCAAAGACTGATTAAGTAGGATTGTTGTCCGAAGTGTCTATCTCCATCAGTTCACGGGCAATAGATATACCATACACTACTTTAATAGAATCAAGCCTTGAAGCATAACTCACACCACTCACATCCTCCTTACTTGCACCATGCTTTCTGCAGGTAAAGCTGACATTAGTATGATAAATTGCAAACCTACTTATAAGGTCAACAATTTTAGGATAATCATCACTGGCATTTTGTAATGTTTTTCTACGAGCAACCTTATTTTAAAAAAA